CATTAATTATATATATATATATATATTTATATATATATATATATATATATATATATATATATACATAATGTAACATAATATAAGAAAAAAATAAAGACTAGTGTACCAGGAAGTCAAGGCCTTCAGCTTGCTGCTAGACAATCCCTAGATTGGATCCACTGGTCGTAATCATATCAATATTCCTTCATCATTTTTGTGCTTTAGTAACATAGTACTTTTGATACTGCCTGTAACTGCTGTATTTTACGAAGTACGAATACGGGGAACACAAGAGGTCCACTGCACTGCTGTGATTAGAAAGAGTAGTGCTTGGGATGTGGACACCACATTTATTCCTGTATATTTGCGTGACAAGAATTTTAAATATGAAGATTAAAAACCTTCATAAATTCACACAGATTATCCAAGATTTATTAAGCAGGTTGCTCAGAACAGTAAACAAGTACCATAAAGATCGTGGACTCTGTCTTTGAGTTGACAGTTTCCGGACTCTGTTCTGGAAGTTTCCTTAGGAATAAAGTGTAGAAACTGTTAACTGCCATAACTGTGTGAGGAAGCAGATTAGGATGGCCACTAGCATTTCTAGTTTTTAAATTCGATGTTGGGAACGCATCTGAACGTTTGCCAGGGACTTTCAAATGGCATGTTTTCTTGTCCTTGAACGATATATTGATGCCCAGACAATGAAACATAAATAACGGCATTCAAGGGAAGCAGAAAATTTCTTGCGAAATTTGTGCTAACTCTTCATTAGACTGCATTTTCATTTTTTGTCCATTTTATGGATATCATATGAAAATCTCAAATACCACAATAGTGCAATGCTATTCACAATCTACACTGCCGTGAGTATTCTTTGAAAAGAGAATGAAGCTTGTTGAAATCCTTGGTGAAGTATAGAGCCTGAATGTTGCACTGTAATTCGCAAATCATAAAATGTGATAAATTATTGACAAGCGAATGCAAGAATCGCCTGGATTGTTTATGTTCTATGTATAATTCGACAACCACGCAACTCCAAGCATCCCAAACATTCGGAGCTCGAAGGGAAATATGCTACAATCGAAAATGCAAAATATTCCTGGTATTTTTTTTTTTCGAAAGAGGGGAAATAGCAATTTACTGTACACTAGAAAAAGAGCGCCAGCGTCTCTTTTGTCCCACCGACTTTCAGCATTGTCACGCAACGGAAACCTGATCATTAATGACTTAAATTTTAAAAGGTGCAAGATATCGCGATTTTTTTCTTCACACATTTGGCATTTGATGGGAAATGATGCTGTTTAAGGCAAGTACTGTGACATTTGGATGCGCTTCCTTGTAACGCCAGGATACCGCCTACAAACCAGCTGGTCAGAACTGAAAAGTTCTATTAAGGGATGGTTGATTTTCCATAAATTATAGTTGTTTGGCAAGGGCTAATTATTAGATAAGTAAGATACAAGAATACTTTTGGATCTCCAGTGATCGCGATAATTTGTTCCGTGTCAGGTGGCACATCTTCGTCCTCCACAGCCACTGCTTTCACCTCAATACCACTGCTGCGAGCTTCTCGTGCTGCGTCGCTTGGATCGTCCTGAACAACCAAAAAAACCTTGGGCTCGTTGTAGCCTTCGTACTTTTTCTTGAGTAAATTTAAAACCACAGCTTAAGTTTCAAAAACCAGTAAACGGGGATTCAGCTATAGATTTACTAATGCTAGACGCTAGTTTATTTATTGAGAACTAGAAGTTTTTTTTGGCTCCCGAACTGGTGATAATCCCTTTACCGAAAACGCCGAACTCAGCAAACGTGAGTGGACAGTAGTGTCATTGAAATGACCGTAGAAATTCGGCAGAGCAGCATTTGAAACAAATTTTCGACAGACCTGTGAATAACCATCCGTGAAAACGATTAACATTTTTTTGGCATTTTCGCGTGCGCCATACTTCTCACGGAATTCCCCAACAGCATAACGGATCGCTTCGCCGGTTCGTGTGGTACCACTGCTTAGTGGTGCTTTTCGCAACTCCTTGATAGCTTCATCCACTGAGTTGTGTTTACGCAGATGGAATAGTGTGTCGGTTCGTTTCGGGCCTGAGTAACGTATTGCAGCCACCTTAAGAACCGCAAATATTTACTCAGCTGGTCTTTGATCGGTCATAAAGTTATTTTTTTAGTCTCGAAGTGGCAGTTTTACATTTTAAATTATAAGTGCATTTGGCAAAATTAGTGTCATTTTAAATACTGCATAACCTTCTTCAGACTTTAAGTCGTGTGCGTTATCACTGCATAACCTTCTTCAGACTTTAAGTCGTGTGCGTTATCACAAGTGCTATAAATACGCGATTCGCAAAATTGCTAGTCCGTCCGGTGTGAGCGAATTATTGAGGCAGCCTATACCATAGGAATGAACGGCAACATGTGGATGAAGCGTCTTATTGAACGGTGTCCACAAAGTGTTAAAAGAACACAGGAAAGTTTGTCACTGAGACGAAAAGATCTGCTTGAACTTCTAGGCTGCTTGAATGAGAAAGGCTCGAAATAGATAAAATCGAAAAGGCTGTCAGGGGAGGTCCTTGTAGAAAAAAGAAAACCAGTGATGAAGACCAGCTGGTCGAAGTACTGTTAATCTGCAAATTACTCATGAAACAAACTGCAAGGGGACCGGGTCTTGAATGTGCTAGCACGAGCTTCTGCTGAAACAAAAAAACTAATGATTGAACGATTTGCCTTTTTAGTTGAAGCCTTTGCTTGCATATGTTGTGTTAAAGCACACTTCAGCAGAGTAGTGTGGACAGTTCAAGGCAGCTGTGAGGGCGCCAAGTCTACTTCCTTCTGGATGTGCTTACACGGTTTGAAGCCGATGAAAGCAATGTAAATCAAATTCTCAAACGTATTTCCTTCATTTCTACATCAGCACGTACTGGGGTATCAGCAATGCCGCCATCGAAATCATGGCAGATTCGAAAATTCGACATTCAGAAAAACAATAAACACCCAGGTTGGAACGCACCAGGCGAGCCGGTGCGATCATGCGTTTTTGCATCAAACTTTGAGGTACAGGATAAAAGGAAAGAAGGAAAAAAGGAGAAAACCCAGGCTGGGACGCACCAGGCGAGCCGGTGCGATCATGCGTTTTTGCATCAAACTTTGAGGTACTCCATCATTTTTCCCTGCCCTTGCCTCACCCCTCTACTCGCTGTTCTTGCCCCTCCCCCTTCCCCCGCACCCGTCCTGGATATCCGTCTTCTCCAAGCGGTGATATTGTGCTGCATTATACAGCACGATCACAAAGCGGT